AAGGAACCCTGAAGGTCAAGCTTTGCCTCATTATTGCAAGAAAATTCACTTATTTTCACTTGCAAAATGCTTTTTATTTAGTACCTTATTGCAAAAATGGTAAATAAGTTCTCCCATGTAATTCTTTTACTGATAAGAGGGTAGCACTTGATAATGCTGGCACTGGTCGCTTTGATAGCTAGTTTACAACACTTTATTCAGTCTAGTTCAATTATATAAATGGCCTACAGATCACTCAAGCAGATAAGAGCTCCTAATTACCACTACAATGACAGACTCCTGTTAGATCCCATGTAATTCTTTTACTGATAAGAGGGTAGCACTTGATAATGCTGGCACTGGTCGCTTTGATAGCTAGTTTACAACACTTTATTCAGTCTAGTTCAATTATATAAATGGCCTACAGATCACTCAAGCAGATAAGAGCTCCTAATTACCACTACAATGACAGACTCCTGTTAATTATAATCCCCTGGAGTATCGGTTACTCTGTATACAGCATGCTGAGTTTAGATATAATCCTATCTGAAGGGAAATGTTTTTCAGACTTCCCTGTCTCTCTACTCAGCAAACCGAAACAGCAGAATAAAATGGCAGCACCATCGTTACCATGCTTTTCAAAACTCATTCAGTTCTATTCCACCTTTCTCCCCAGTGGGTACCCAATGTAGCTTAGATCAATTTCCTGTCCTCCATTTTATCCTAAATGGAAGCAAATATCAGAGTCCAAATTGAAGTGTAAGTCATCAAATTTTCTGAGCCATAAAAAGCCAACCCGTAATCCAGATGCCTGATGCCGCGTTTCGAATAATTCTTTTTCAAGCATGGCTGTAATGGAACCCAATCTCAAAAACTGGCATATACTAAGCCAGAATGGTCAGTCAAGGAGGATTAAGGCTCAGAAAATTTGATGACTTACACTTCAATTTGGACTCTGATATTTGCTTCCATTTTGGAGTAGACACATGGAAAGACTGTAGACTGTGCTTCTATTATGCTTTATTATTGTACCTTGGCCAATTGATTCATATTATACTTGCTGTTATGCTTATATGATTATTATATACTTGTTATTCTTAGTCAGTGGTGTGTTCTTTGCTGCTTCTTGTACACTGGCTTCCGCCCTTTTTTTGGCTCCATTTTATCCTCACAACAACCCTGTGAGGTAGGTTAGGCCAACAGTATGTGACTGGCCCAAAAGCACTCAGGAAGCATCTACTGCAGGGTGAGGATTTAAACCTGAGTCTCCCAGACCCTAGTCTGACACTTTAATTACTACACCACATTGGTACTTATGAATGAAGACAAAATACACTCGCAAAGTTATGCTCAGTAACACTACCAGATGTGTATTTCTGCATTACAAACTGGCTGGAAAATGGGAAAGATCAACTTATGACAGCTGTTTGCATTTTTTGTCTCTATCCAAATCCAATGTGTATATATATATCTTTCATGACATGTTTCATACATCTGATGAGACGGCCTCTAGTCAACAAAAGCTTACGCCACAGTAAATCTGACAGTATGTCAGAAGAGCCCTTTTAATTTCTGCTGCAATACGCTAAAACAGCCAGCACTCTAACATGTTTGACTAAATCATGATAGCAGTTCTCATTGATCAAAGTAATTTTCTTTGATCTCACTACTTAGGGTTTTAATTTATTTTTTTTAATAAACCACACTTCTAATTGGTACCTTGCTTTCAGAGGAAGAAGTACTAAAAGATTTAAAAAAACCCCTCCAAAAAAAATACACATTCTTAATCAATTCAATGAGGTGGCTATAAATATCTACAATCAATAACCACATCTGTTCTGCCAGCACTAAACGGGGAGAAAGAGGATGCCATTAAATCAAGTTTTTGGTTAAATGAATGACGCAGTTTATTTAGGGTGAAACACTATGTCACTACGTCACCTCAATCCTTACAGAAGATTTTCTTCACAGCAATGTTTTACTGGTGAGGGATAAAGAAAGCCCAAAAGGTTTTAATTGCTGAAAATGTTCCAGGAGACACTCTTTTTGTAGCTCATCTGATTTTTAACTTTATTTAGGTGTTACACTGGCTTATTGTTTCATTAATTAATTAATTAATACTCCAATCTTCTGTCCAGTGGGGAACCAAAGTGGCTTACATCATTCTCCTCTTCTCCATTTTATCCTCACGACCAGACTGTGAGGTAGGTTGAGAGTGCATGAGCGGCCCAAGGGGCACCCAGCGAGTTCCATGGTGGAGTAGGGATTTGAACCTGGGTCTCTCAGATCCTGGCTCTCATATTGAAAGAGTTGGAGGAAAGAGACCGGCTGGGTATGCATGAGAGGGATACAGGGACAATAAGTCCAGAGGGAGAGCAGAAGCCCCTGAATTTGCCTGAAACAGGCACAACAGCTTTGTGCGCACACAGGCTCAGAGGGGAAACGTCCCAAAGCAGCATTTCCTATCACACACCCTATAAGAGTGTCACACATACAAGGTTACAACTGCCCGGCAAAGATCTCAGGCAAACTTCCCACGTTCACCAGATAGATATCAGAAGAGCCAGTGCCTAGCAGGCAATCTCACTATCTCGTTATGTCCATAACGTAAGTAACAGCAGGGGTCATTTCCTGCAGGAGCGCAGAGGAGTGGAGCTCCAGCAGTAAAGAGCCCAGGGGGCGGGCACATGCAACAAGCCCCGCCCCCTGCTCCCAGCAGCCCTCAGTCAGAGCAAGAAGAAGCCAGGTAAGCTGCAGAGCTCCCCCCGGCCCCCCGGTTGAAAACAGTCCAGTGGCACCTTTAAGAACAAGGTTTATTCAGGTACAAGCTCTCCCTCCGCTGCGAGGACAGATCCGCACATTCCCCCCCCCCCAATAGCTAGCAATCCAAAACAGAACAGTGGAGCCTGAGCAGTGGGTGTTGCCTTCTGATACACTTCCGGTGATGTCAGGGGGTGTGGCATATGCAAATAAGCTATGCTAATGAGTTATGCTAATGAGCTCCTGCACCTCTTTTTCTATGAAATGACCCTTGAGTAACAGTGATACACAACCTGGTGCCCATGGGTGCCAGGGCACCTACCAAGGGGTTTCCTGATGCTCGCTTGCTTCTTCCCCAAAGCAAAGCCAATCCTGGCTTTCCTCCACCTCCAGGAGAACACGGAGCAACTGGCTTCACGGTACAAGGCTGCCTGGCTTGCAATTTCCCAGTATTTTGCGACTGGTCCCAACCCTCCACCCCCGGTAGCAGACATTTGTGGGGATGCCCATTCCCTGTTCTCCACAAGTTCAACAAGAATGGGGCACCCTGATCTAGAAGCTAGAGAGCCTAAACCTGCAGAGGAAAATAGGGGGGGAAAGATTGCTACTGTTGGCCAGGCTGCTGGCTACAGTCTCTGATCACACGGGCAAATATGCATGGGGGAAGGGGTCAGTCTTGCACAATAAACAAAAGCAGTCCAGTGGGACCCTCTTGAAGGTGCCTTCCACTGAGTTTGATCAGTCTCGTCCACAGTGTGAGGCAGCAGCTCTCCAGGACGTTCTACCTGATCCTTTTTAACTGGATATGCCAGGGACTGAACCCGCAGCCTTCTGCATGAAAAAGCAAATCGTCTACCATTTGAACCATAGCCCCTCCCTGTGGGCACCTCCTCCACATTCAACAGCCTGTGTTGTACTAGATTCTGCCAAACACAGAGAGATGCAGATTCCAGAGTCCTTACAGTCAAACATGGACTCACTCGAAGACAAAAGTAAGAAAGGAGAACAGTTCTATTCCGAAGTGCAATCGGTCACTTAAAAAATGAACGTATGGCATTTCCAAGGACTCTTCATTTCTCACCTGTCTGTTTCGTTCATCCATTATTCTTGTGATCTGTATTTTCTTCCTCCCCATTTTCACTGTTTCCCTCTTTATAATCCAGAAGCACTCAAGTAAAATAATCCGCAAACTCTGTGTCCTAGCGCATGGTAGGCAGTTCTCTCTGGACTAAAGCCACAGTCCGTTCACCGTGTTGCCTCTAAAACCTGAAATGGAAAGACACATTGAAATCAGTTGTATGGTGTTAGAAGTACAAAATTTCACACCATTTACTTCTATACTGGAAGTCATCAGCAAGGCAAACCAACTCGTCCTTAATCAGAAAGGCAACTCTGTGAATTAGGTCATATGGGGCTTTCGCTGTACTCTGTCCAAAGCACTCACATCACAACATCAGTCTATACAATTCGTCCGTGTCAAGGTTTGCATTCACTGCCCGGTGATTGCGAATACTCAAAAAGTTAACAGCTCCTTTTAAAATCCTGAACAAGCCTTTAAATGGAAAGATGGTACTCTTCCAAAGCAATGTCATGAATGATGGAATTATTTTACACTCCATTACAGGCACAATAGTACTAGCTCTTTTTTTCAGGTGCAATTCCATTCTATCACACACACGCAACACTCTGACTCATTCAAAATATTTACCTGTTCTGTGTTGCTACAAGCATGATGAAATCAAACAGGAAAGAGAAGTCTTCCAACACAATGCACCAAGAAGTTAAAGCAAATGGAGGTTCAAAATCTGGGTATAATTCTATTTCAACCTATTATAAGTTTCAGTCCTCTCCTCAAGAACAACTCTACATAGGTTCCTGTTGGAGGACTATGAGCAAGACGAAGCAATTAAATCTGTGATGATTACTTGGATGAAGGATATAGGGGAAAATATGGAAGATGAACAATGGTCTAGCATGTGGAAGACGGTCAAATATATGAAAGCGGTGGCGTATAAGGAGAATGTGTATAAGATGTTCCACCGATGGCATTGGTCTCCGGACAAACTGGCTAAGTGTTATCCTAATTTATGTTGGAAATGTAAAATGAATAAGGGGACATTTTACTATATGTGGTGGATGTGTAGTAAGATACAAGGCTATTGGAAGATGGTTTGGAAGGTAATCCAAGAAATCCTGGAGAAAAATGTAGCTTTAAAACCTGAAATATATTTGTTAAATATGATCCTGAAAGGTTACAATAAGCAAGAATCATACATATTAGGATATATAATAACAGCTGCTAGATTGCTATTGGCCAAAAATTGGAAATCTGAAGTTATACCCAAGAAGGAAGAACTAGTAGTTAAGATACTGGAGCTAGCAGAATAGGAATGAAATGTTGCAGAATAGGAATGAAAAGGTACATGAAAAGTGATGGGAAAAGGTATATAATTGGATAGGCGAACTGTCAAGAAATTAGTGTCTTAAAAATGTGTATAAGAATTAAGCGATGAATGACTGATATATATGTAAGATGTATAGATGAAATGTATAAATGGAAACGAAATTAAAAAATTTACAAAAAAAAAGAACTCTACATGTGTGCTTAAAGACCAGCATATTTTGAATGCCATTTAAAAATAAATCTATTTGATACATCCCCATGCTGTGCTTCATTTCCCTAACAGACTACTTCACAGGAACATACAGACTGACAAACAGCTGAGAAATTCAAGGTTATGTTCATTACTGTAAAACTTGCAAGTTTTCGCACATCACTAACAAGCCAATTACCAATCCAACACTTTTTCCCACAGCTTGCAAACCTCTCCAAATGTAAACTGGAGTTACGATCCACATAAAGGAGAAAAGACTGCACACCAAAAGCTTGCATGCTTGCTGAGCAACCAACCTGCACAGAGCTATTCACCTGCACTTTTCCCACAGTATGCGTGATAGTGTTTTCTGAAGGATTCTTATGTCGCATACACACTATCAACAATTCAGCAACAGATTTAATTATTTTTATTTGGGGTTGTTTTTTTAATCCCTCCTGCCCCCAGTTTGCCATTTGCCCACCCTTAGCGTGTAATTGAGGAGCTGGAGGGGAAATAATGGCTGGAAAATGACCTCCACTGTAACCCTCCAGGAATTTCCCCATGTCTCTATGATAAAGACCACAGATTAGGGGGAATTCTAGAGCATCACCCAGAAGTCACATCACATCATCTCCAAACTCACCATCACAGCAACCCAGCAATGCCAGAGAGGCTATAAAGGGTGTAGTGACCCAAGCTCACCCACTGAACTTTCTGGCTGCACAGGGATTAGAACCCAAAGCTCTTCCCAGCTCTACTCTGATAGGCCATCTACCACACCACAGTGCCTCTTTCATGCGAACATAATGCAGAAAAATACAGTTCAAAAAACTGATTGTCATGTCCAAGCCATGGCTGGGAGGACTGAAAACATGCCATGGGATCACACATTCCCCTCCTCTCCTCTGATTTGCCCCTCCCATTCCTGATTCTCTTTACCATAGTGTCTGCAATAATCAGGCAAAATTATGTTTAGGGCCAGCTACAGTTAGCCTTCAAACCATGGTTCAACCCTGACCTGGATAGCCCAGGTAAGCCCGTCAGATCTCAGAAGCTAAGCAGGCTCGACTCTGGCAAGTACTTGGATGGGAGACCTCCTTGAAATACCAGAGGCGGGAAGTGGGGGCAGGCTTTATTCAGCCACCTCTCTGAATATCCTCCAGCCCCCAGTCGGGGTCAGTCACCAGAGATCACCATGACTTCCAGGTGCATACACAATCACATGAACACACATGCACATTAAAAAAAATACCAAAACTCAGAGGTAGCCACAGTTAAGAAGAAGAGGAGATTGGATTTATACCCCGCCCTTCACTTGAAGTCTCAGAGCGGCTTACAAACTCCTTTCCCATCCCCTCCCCACAACAGACACCCTGTGACATGGGTGGGGCTGAGAGAACTCTGACACAAACTGCTCTTTTTCAAGAACAGCTGTGCCAGAGCTTGTGACTGACCCAAGGTCACATCAGCAGGTGCAAGTGGAGGAGTGGGGAATCAAACCTAGTTCTCCCAGATTAGAGTCCGCACACTTAACCACTACACCAAACTGGCTCTCTATGATTAACACTAATCATAGTATGCTCAGCACACTGCTGCGAGTGATGGTAAGAGAAAAACAAGAAAGGGGGGGGAGGATTCCAAATGCAGTAGGGGGAGGGCACATGCTCATAGGTGCTCCTCATGAGACAGCTGCACATCAGGATGGAAAAGCATGTGACATTTGTTTTCAGCAAATACATCTGACTAGACCTCTCACCTTCCCTATTCTCCACACCATTTCTGAGTGACTTCTGATCAGCCAGGCAAAACAAGTAGTATAAAATGTCCTCTTCACTCTATTACTGTTATTTCCTATTTATTAATTTTTACTAACAACCTGGAGTATCACAGAGTAAAGCAATTAAAACAGTGATTTATTTATTTTTTTTACCCAGGCCAGAACCCACAGAACTGAACTGTACCCAAGCAGGGAAGGGGGAGAAAAGCAGGGGCTGTGGGTTTTTTTTAAACTAGTCCCCTCCCCATCAACCCCATGCCAAAGAGCAAACTGCTTTGAGCTTGTGAAGTGACAGGGCGACCTGCTCTTAGAAAGAAAACCCAAAATCCCACAAGATATGCTCAAGTGCTTGGGTGTGCCTAAATAGGATCCTTAGATCCTGAGCTGTTCAGTCAGGAAGATTAAAGGATTTGCAATCTTCTGAAGATTTTCAGCAAGGGAGGAAAAAAACCAGTCCACTGAAATATATACCTGAATCTGAGCCAACTGTCACAAAATGCCCTCTCCTTTAAAGCCACGTGGAGGGAAGTGGCGCAAACCATGCCACAAACCATCTCACAGTTAATGAGCAGAGACAGCAAGAGGGGATTAGTCACAGACTACATTTCACATTCTATTCACCCTCAAATGAGCAGACAGCTCTGACGTTCTGATGCAACATTAAAAATGGTTCAGAGGAATGTTATTGGAACAAGGGATGCTGTTTGACTACTCCTGTGACATATTTATATGTTTAGAATAATTGTGTGTCCCCTTTCTCCTTAGCATCTCAGGACCCAAGGCACAACATTCAAGGATTCTCTGTTTAATAATGGAACAGGAATCCAGTATCACCTCACAGACCAACAAAATTTCCCAGGGTGTAAGCGTTCATGAGTCAAAGCTCACTTTGGTATTTGACAAAATGAGTTTTGACTCACCAACGCTTATACCCTGGAAAAATCAGCTGGTCTTTAAGGTGCCACTGGACTCAAATTTTGTTCTGCTACTGCATACTAACATGGCTAATCACTAGGGGTGGGCACGAACCAGGAAGATGGAGGTTCGTGGTTTTCATGAACCACGAACCTCCAACAAACTCCTCCACCGTATGGACCGGTTTATGGTTTGGGGAGTTCAGTCCACCCGGAAGGGAGCTCCGAAGGCATTTAAATAACTTTGGAGCCCACCTCCAGTTGAGCCAGCCTGAGCAAGCTCCTATACAGGCCTTCGGATCTCATTCCCGGAGCGCAATCGGGCCAACCTGACCCAGAGGTGAGCTCTGAAGGCAGGGAGGTGGAGCTCACTTGGGTCAGGCCATGGGGCTGGTGGTGGGCTCCAACGGCATTTAAATGCCTTCAGAGCTCACTTCCGGTGAGGCTCTAAAGGTATTTAAAATGCCTTTGGAGCCCGCACAAACCCTTCCCAAAACCCCATGGAGGTTTGTGGGCGGATTGTCGGAGGCACATTCTCCATTTGTGGGTTTGTGCCCATCCCAACTACGTACCTGAAACTTGTTTTAAAATATCACTGATGCCCAGAGACACAGAGCAGTTATAAACATTGGCACAGGGCACTGTTAATCATTGGTTCAGATGGTAAAATACAGCTGTGTGTACTGGGGGGGGAAGTCTAATTTAACAGCACACATGTCATTGGTATGACTACTAACCAGTTTGGTGTAGTGGTTGAGTGTGCGGACTCTAATCTGGGAGAGCCGGGTTTGATTCCCCACTCCTCCACTTGCCCCTGGCTGGATGACCTTGGGCAAGCCATAGTTCTGATGAGAGCTGTTCTTGAAAAAGAGCAGTTGCTGTCAAGAGCTCTCTCAGCCCCACCCACCTCACAGGGTGTCTGTTGTGGGGAGGGGAAGGGAAAGGAGTTTGTAAGCCGCTCTGAGACACCTTTGGGTA